ACAGGATGAATGAGACAGACAGACAGCTTCACTACAGAGACGCTGTCAGACTGAAGGCCACGCAGACTTGTCCCAGGCAAATGCTGAGGAGGGAGGGGTTAAACCAGCCGACCATGAGCAATATGCTTTTATCATGTTGTCATTTATGGAGAATATACAATCTCTGCTTTACACAGTATCATCAAAGGACAAAAGAGGTTTCTAACTCAGCTGTCATGACTTTAAAGGGGACATAACCTGAGTCTGTTCTCTAGTCTATATGATAATCTATGACCCCCACGTAGAAGGGGTGTCTCTGACTGTGTAATGCTTCAAAACTAGATTGTATTTCTTAAAATGTGGTTGTCAATTATGAAATATTAACAGAAACAATTGTGGATAAATTATGATATTTACATGTCCAACAGAATGTCATGTTAAATAAGTTCATCGTTATTTAAAGAGCGACTAAACACCTGTGCCCAGCCTTACTCCGCCCACATGAAGATTTGAAAATGTTCTCTAAAAAGGGCGTTGCCTGGAGGACTAAGGGACAAGAAGGGGGGCTTAGAGTTGGGCGTGGTCTGGGCTGTGATTGACAGCTCACTTGTCACACAAAAAAAAAAAGACAGTTGTCATTGCTGCTTAAAGCAATAGTTTACAGACCAGAAAGTCTCATTTAACCCTTGTTTACACACTAAGATAATTGTAAAGCTACACACCTGAACCTAATCACACTCAATAATCTCAGAATCACTCATGTAATTTAATTTTAATCCACTAGAAGGCGCCAGAATACTCAAAACTGCAGCTGGGGCTTGTGTGAGAGTTGAATGGGTTCACATCACTGGCTCTGACAGACTTACGTCACACAAAACAACTGATGTCATAGAGAACTTCAGAGTCAATGGAGAGGCCAGAACCAAATTCAAATGTAGTACAACCAAAAAGGTTGAGAGGGCACCACACAGCGTTTTTTGGCTCAAAAGTGATATTTTATCTAATTTGAACTAAAATGTCAAAAAAATGACCAAGATATGTAGACAGCACTACAATAAACATACTTATGCAGTTTATGAGTTAAAAAAAGTTGATTTGGTGTTTAGTCGCTCTTTAAGTACTTAAAACCAATGAATTACAAATGTATTCGTCTTCAATACCAGGTGTGCGGGATACGTTTTCCTGTTCATCATGGGTTAGGATTGTTGTGTAAGTTTATATTGATATTTTAAATGTCCTTCATTGTAATTTTTAACTCATATTGCAAAGCAATTTTTTCTGCTATGTAAAAAAATAGCTGTAAATTTCTCCAATGTGAGATCAATAAAGTTGTAACACCTACTAGGACACCCTCTAAAAAGAGATGTAAACAGGCTCTACACCAGAACTCAGCTACTGATCCTGAATCTGAAGGGAATTTGGAGGAAATTCCACTGCTGACTAGGGATGTGCGATATTTATTGTACAAGATAATATCGCAAACGTGACTTTGAAGATAAGCTGTTTCACATCATCGAGATGGCCCTCATTCATGAAACTTGCTTACTGCCAAATCAGGGAGTAAATAAAGCGTACAAAAAAATGACACTTTTCGGCTTTTATGAACCTGGAAGTGAGCACAAAATACACAACGAGTCTGGAGGTGGCGTAAATGTACACCCATCTCAACCTTCATCACAACACTTCAAAACACGGATGAAATTCAAGATTTGGACAACAATAAACACTTTTTTTCCCACACGGGAAAAATTATAAGCTGCGTTTCTATTGAGCATCAAATTTTGAACTTTGAATTTGCGCATCAGAAAATGTTATGATAAAGACCCTCTTCTGTTTCTTCGTTTTTGAATCTGACTTCTATGTATATTATTTTTAGGGCTGTCAAACGATTAATTTTTTTAATCGAGTTAATTACAGCTTAAAAATTAATTAATCGTAATTAATCACATTTTGAACTATCAAAAAAATGATGGCATATTTTTCTGTAGATGGTTGTTTGAATGGAAAGATAAATGATGTCATGGTGTACAATAAGAACTGTATTTGTTTATTAGAACAACAAATCCGCATTAAATGGGATAAACGTTATTAACTAATGTAACTAGTGTGTAGACTTAAGTTACCCACGCTGTGGGTTACTCTTCGAAGCTGGTTCCAAGTTCCCGCCAGAGAGAAAACTAAATGCTCCAGTTACGTGCCAGTCCCATCTATAAATTAGCCCTCTACAGCCCGCAACCTGCCACTTGGAACTCTGCCAAAGACCAGCTGGAACTGATGGGCCGGTAGCTAAGGGGCTACGCACCATCTCGTTAGAACTTAGTTACACTTAGGTAACTACCAATTTCTACGTAATGGTGCTCTGCACCTTAGGAGGCTAAGCTATGGGTAAAACACGCGTAAGCCGTGGGAAACTGTATCCCATCAGGCCAGTGATTGGGAGCCCTTCCGAGATACCCCCAACACCTCAGGTGAGTGGCCTCAGGGCAGGAAAAGGAAATCCAACCAGGTGTTAAAGGCGCCTCCTATCAAGGACGCCGAAGCCTGTCACTTCCCAAGGGGGGGGTGGGGGGGTGGCTGCAGTCCCAGGACCCCTCACCATGAGCTTCCGAAGGGAAGGCCAGGGGGCCCCCAGAGGGACAAGGTCAGGCAAGTGTCCAGGTCGCCTCTCCCAAGAACTACTGAGACCACTGCATGCCCAAGCGAAAAAAGCATAGAGCAGACCCCCAGGGACGCCTATATAACGAGCACCTGAACAGGGCGGCCCTGATCAATACATATATGCAATATGTAAGTTATCAAATAAAGGACCTTAGGTTGCCTCTCCAAGAGCACTGACAGTCCCTAATCAGATCCCAGTGTTCAAGACAGAGTGGGCCACAGGACGTTCTGACACGGTTAACCAGATAAGACTGAAGCAAAGGTAGAGGACGGAAGTCCTGACGTCTGCAGCCTGGCAGACGTCCTCCACTGTGGCACCTTGGAGCAGGCCGTGGTGGGCTGCCAATCCCCGTGTGGGAATGCGTCCTGAATCCCCCGGACCAACCCCTGAGCCTGGTAATGCCATGCAGCCGCTCATTGCCCAGTCCTCCCTAGGACCCAAACATGAGGCGGAACGTAGCTGTGACGTCCAAAACACAACAGGTCTGCCGCTCATCCTCCTGATAACCCTTAACCTACCTAAGGTCGAAGAAAAGACCTTGGGAAGAAAGGCTGGATTGGCCCAAAGTTCCACCAAACCATCCCCAGCTCCAAACGATAAGCAGGCCGGGCTGATTGAGAGCGTATAGGTCTCCCGCCCTTTTGGTTGACGCCAAGGCCAATAAAAGGGCAGTCTTAAAAAGCCACACACTCTGGACTGGCCCGGGCCACCGTTCGAATGGGGGACCCGACAGTCCCCTTAGAACCACTCAGCCTGAGACGGCAGACGTCGCACTTCCTTCGTCCGACACGGGAGGGCGAAGGAGTCCTCGGACGAGCAGGAGACGGCGACGACATCTTCAGACTTCGAGTGTGGTGAGTAGAATTCTCTCAGTGGCGCCAGAGTGAAAAGTGGCAGGTGCGGGCTGTAGAGGGCTATTTATAGATGGGACTGGCACGTGATTGGAGCATTTAGTTATCTCTGGCAGGAAGCTGGACGCTTCTAAGAGTACCCACAGCGTAGCCTTCTAAGGGGCGGAGCACCATGACGTAGAATTATGCATATGTTTTGCCTCATTCACCTCAAAGCAATGTGGGTTTTCCTTAGTTTTGTGCATAAAGCCCCATAAATGCACCTGATCTTGCTCAAAACTGTCTCATCCACTGCCCTGTTCACCGCAGAGCAGAGATAGGATGGCAAGGCGCATATGGGAACTGGCTCACGGGCAGTATATTTCATTCATTAATTCATTTATTATTTGTCTATTACGTCGAAATTTCAGGAGAGATGAGCGCTGCAGTGGATCTAGACACTAGGGAAAAAAGTGTATATATTATAGCGTATATATATATTTTTTAAACGTGAATAAGACTCAGTCTTCTTAGCCGACTTCCTGCTGACCTGTCGTAAAGACAGGGCGTGATCAGGCGGTTTCAGAATATTTACAGGCGTGGACTTTCATAAATACGCTGGTTTGCTGAGCGCAGCATTTATTAAACAGCCGCAGGTGCGTACGCTCAAATCTTTGCGGATCTCACATGTTCATAAATGCCACGTCAGATCTTGCGTATCTGAAATCTACACCCAAAATGTACACCTTTTTCTGCGCACAATTTTCATAAATGAGGCCCATATGTTTTGTGTTTGTAAATGTCTGTGTGCAGGCGGATGCTCGCACGCAGGCATAAGGCCTATGTGTTTGTGTTTGTATTACGAGCCACAAGGGGGGTGGTGTCTAGGAGTGTGGCTCAATAACAAACTTAAACCGGGTGTGGAACAGACACGGGAGGCGGAGGTCCAAACAAGTAACAGGTTTATCTGCTACCCTCGTCACCAACATTACGACCACCCCCTCTATAACCCCCCCCCCTCTATAACCACCGCCTCTATAACCACCGCCTCTATAACCACCCCCTCTATAACCACCCCCTCTATAACCACCGCCTCTATAACCCACCGCCTCTATAACCACCCCCTCTATAACACCACCCCCTCTATAACCACCCCCTCTATAACCCACCGCCACTATAACCACCCCCTCTATAACCACCCCCCTCCATAACCCCCCCCTCTACCACCCCCTCTATAACCACCCCCTCTATAACCACCCCCTCTATAACCACCCCCTCTATAACCACCGCCCTCTATAACCACCGCCTCTATAACCACCCCTCTATAACCACCCCCTCTATAACCACCCCCCTCTATAACCACCCCCTCTATAACCACCGCCTCTATAACCACCCCCTCTATAACCACCGCCTCTATAACCACCCCCTCTATACCACCCCCTCTATAACCACCCCCTCTATAACCACCGCCTCTATAACCACCCCCTCTATAACCACCGCCTCTATAACCACCGCCTCTATAACCACCCCCTCTAAACCACCGCCTCTATAACCACCCCCTCTATAACCACCGCCTCTATAACCACCGCCTCTATAACCACCGCCTCTATAACCACCGCCTCTATAACCACCCCCTCTATAACCACCGCCTCTATAACCACCCCCTCTATAACCACCGCCTCTATAACCACCCCTCTATAACCACCGCCTCTATAACCACCCCCTCTATAACCACCGCCTCTATAACCACCCCCTCTATAACCACCCTCTATAACCACCGCCTCTATAACCACCGCCTCTATAACCACCCCCTCTATAACCACCGCCTCTATAACCACCGCCTCTATAACCACCCCCTCTATAACCACCGCCTCTATAACCACCCCCTCTATAACCACCGCCTCTATAACCACCGCCTCTATAACCACCGCCTCTATAACCACCGCCTCTATAACCACCCCTCTATAACCACCCCCTCTATAACCACCGCCTCTATAACCACCGCCTCTATAACCACCGCCTCTATAACCACCCCCTCTATAACCACCGCCTCTATAACCACCCCCTCTATAACCACCGCCTCTATAACCACCCCCTCTATAACCACCCCCTCTATAACCACCCCCTCTATAACCACCCCTCTATAACCACCCCCTCTATAACCACCGCCTCTATAACCACCCCCTCTATAACCACCCCCTCTATAACCACCCCCTCTATAACCACCGCCTCTATAATCACCCCCTATAACCACCCCTCTATAACCACCCCCTCTATAACCACCCCCTCTATAACCACCGCCTCTATAACCACCCCCTCTATAACCACCCCCTCTATAACCACCCCCTCTATAACCACCCCTCTATAACCACCCCCTCTATAACCACCCCTCTATAATCAACCCCCTCTATAACCACCCCCTCTATAACCACCCCCTCTATAACCACCCCCTCTATAACCACCGCCTCTATAACCACCCCCTCTATAACCACCGCCTCTATAATCCCCACTCCCTTGGATTATAGCACCTCAACTCGTCCTATGTTTTTATATTATTATTATTACTATTAGTATTACTAAAAGCAAAGGAAGGTTTCTCACCCATCATCTGTACTTCTTAGCAAGTTTTCCCGACGTTTCGTCCTCAACCTAGCGGACTTCTTCAGGGAATGAATTCTCGGACCATTCTGGCTCCTTTGGTGGGTAACACCCACCATCACATAGAAAACACAAAAAGAATTTGTAAATAAAATCAAACACCTCCAGTTTGACACAGATGAGACAATGGTCTCGTTTGATGTGACATCGCTTTTTACGTCTGTCCCTATTACAGAGGCGGTGGAGGCTGTAAGAGAAAGCCTACAGAAAGACGCCACACTAGGGGAGAGAACGAAACTAACAGCTGACCACATCTGTGAAATACTGGAAATGTGTCTTAACACCACGTATTTCCAATTTAGAGGCACCTTCTTTAGACAGATTCATGGCTGTGCGATGGGCTCCCCAGTCTCTCCTATAGTGGCCAATCTGTATATGGAGAAACTGGAGGAACAAGCCCTGGCCTCTTACCAAGGGACAGCGCCAAGCCATTGGTTTCGATATGTAGACGATACATGGGTTAAGTTAAAGAAACAGGAAGTGGAACCATTTTCAGAACACATTAATTCGGTGGACCCTTTTATAAATTTCACTCGCGAGGATGCTAAGGAGAGTGAACTCGCCTTTCTAGATTGTAAGGTCATCATACTGGAGAACGGACAATTAGAGACTGAGGTCTTCAGAAAGTCCACTCACACTGACCAGTACCTGGCCTTTGATTCAAATCATCCGCTACACCACAAACTCGGGGTCATTAGAACGCTTCAACACCGAGCCCACCAGGTCCCCACAAGCTCGGAGGGAAAGAACAGAGAAACCAAACATGTTCAGAGAGCACTTTCCAGATGTGGCTACCCCAAGTGGTCTTTTACTAAAGCCCAAAGGACGAGAAAGGCCAGAGACACAGTCCAACAGACAGAAGAAAGTAGGAGAAGAGGGGTGTCCTTACCGTATGTGGCGGGAGTTTCAGAGAAACTACAAAGAATCTTTAGGCAACACAAAAATCCCTGTGTATTTCAAACCTTTCAACACGTTAAGACAGAAATGAGTGCATCCCAAAGACAAAACACCCAGACACAAACAGAGCAATGTGGTGTATTCAATTAAATGTAGTGAAGAGGAGTGCACTGACCACTATATTGGAGAAACCAAACAAACTCTACAGAAACGACTTTACCAACATCGTAGAGAAACTCTAGTGGGCCACAGTCGGCTGTTCATCTCCACCTCAAGGCCTCCAACCACACGGTGGATGACACAGAGGTTAAAATTCTGGCTCGGGAGAAGAATTGGTTTGAGAGAGGGGTGAAAGAAGCCATTTTTTGTGAGGAAACAGAAACCTTCTCTTAACAGAGGAGGAGGGTTAAGATTTGTTTTGCCTCGCATCTACGACGACATCCTAAAAACAACCACAGACGTTAAAACATGTTTTGCTGTAGCCAAACAAATTGTGAATAAGCCTCTCTGTAGGTCTAGTTGATTTATATGATGTATAATCATATGAACTCATGATTGATCCCCCACCGCACGTCACTGGTGTAGCCAGGTCTTTAATCTGCGCAATAAGGCTGAGAAAGAGCGCTCAGAGGCCGCGACAGATATCCAGACAGAGCGTCATAAGCTTCTCCTCCTCCGACAGCATGGAGCGGGTTTGGGGCTGCAAGGAGCGCAGGATAGACGCAACATCTCGAATCATGATAACTTCTCGCTCCCGGCACACGCGGAGGGGGTGCGGCCGCACCCTCCGCACCCCTAGTTCCGACGTCTATGGGTGCAAGGCACCTACAGTGCCTTGCGAAAGTATTCGGCCCCCTTGAACCTTTCAACATTTTGCCACATTTCAGTCTTCAAAGATAAAGATAACAAATTTTAATTTTTTGTCATGAATCAACAACGAGTGGGACACAATTGTGAAGTGGAACGAAATGTATTGGATAATTTAAACTTTTTTAACAAATAAAAAACTGAAAAGTGGGGCGTGCAATATTATTCGGCCCCTTTACTTTCAGTGCAGAAAACTCACTCCAGAAGTTCAGTGAGGATCTTTGAATGATCCAATGTTGTCCTAAATGACTGATGATGATAAATAGAATGCACCTGTGTGTAATCAAGTCTCCGTATAAATGCACCTGCTCTTTGATAGTCTCAGGGTTCTGTTTAAAGCGCAGAGAGAACCATGAAAACAAAGGAACACACCAGGCAGGTCCGAGATACTGTTGTGGAGAAGTTTAAAGCCGGATTTGGATACAAAAATATTTCCCAAGCTTTAAACATCTCAAGGAGCACTGTGCAAGCAATTATATTGAAATGGAAGGAGTATCAGACCACTGCAAATCTACCAAGACCCGGCCGTCCCTCCAAACTTTCATCTCAAACAAGGAGAAGACTGATCAGAGATGCAGCCAAGAGGCCCATGATCACTCTGGATGAACTGCAGATAACTACAGCTGAGGTGGCAGAGTCTGTCCATAGGACAACAATCAGTCGTGCACTGCACAAATCTGGCCTTTTTGGAAGAGTGGCCATTTCTCAAAGATATCCAATAAAAGTCTCTTAAAGTTTTCCACAAGCCACCTGGGAGACACACCAAACATGTGGAAGAAGGTGCTCTGGTCAGATGAAACCAAAATCAAACTTTTTGGCCACAAAGCAAAACGATATGTTTGGCGTAAAAGCAACACAGCTCATCACCCTGAACACACCATCCCCACCGTTGCAAAGTCGGGTTTGCACTGCCTTCTTGTGCGTGTCTCACGGCAGCCAAAGTAAAATCAAGATGAATTTTGCTTTGGCTGTGTGTGATCTTTTTTTAAAGTTCAAATACAAACAAATTCTGAGACGGATGTACCTTTTTATGCAATATGAGGTGAGATGTTGATAGTTCCATATGTGTGTTTTAAGAGTAAAATGTTTGTGTAAAGTTTGGTTTAAGTACTGGGTTAGGTGTTCCAGTTTACAACACTACGCAGCAGGGTTGCCAGGTTGGGTGGTTTACCGCAAACTTTTGTTCTAAGCAACTTGTAGGTCATAATTAGACAGAAATACAATAAACACAATAATGATAGCCCAATTTGATTGCATTACATTTTTTGCCAAAAAATCATTCTGGATGGTTTTTATTGTGCAATCTCGTGGGTTTTGGGCTGGATAATCTTTCTGGCATTTGGCAACGCAGTGAAAGGTTGTGTGCTAAATTGTGTGCTTCGATGTGAGTGATTGAAGGAATACGTCATTCAAGAAAACAGACAAGTGATTTCTCCAATCAAATACAACAATTTTTTCCAAGGCCCCGCCTTCTGAATTTCATCCGCTATAAAGAGACCCAGACCATTGTGTGAAGCTCAGCAAACTACAAGGGTCTGGCGAGAGTCAGGCTAAGTGTTTCCACCCCCAGGCTTCACAATCGGCAACCGCCAAAGATATATTTATTGGTTAGCTTTAACTCCCCTGCTCTTTGGGCCAGAAAAAGGTGGGTATCGGACTATCTTTATACAGAAAAACTTGTTCCTGATGACTACTTTGAAAGTATATCATTTTAAGCATCTAACTGCCCAACCAACAGGGAGAAGTGTTTGTGTTGGTTTGTGCGTTGTAATTCTGATATTAACATGGTGGATGGAGGTAATAACTCCTGGTCTGTGTTTGATGAGAGAACAATCTTGTACAAACCACAAAGGGACCATCATCTCACATACAATGCATGAATTTGAGAATCTGCTAAGACGATGAGATATTCCTTGTAAATGCGGTGTGTTTTGTAAAAAGCTTAAAACAGAGCTGAGCGTTGCAGAACCGGGGCTCCAGTTTCTCTTGTGACCTGGACTGCGTCACATTGATTAGTGCGGATGGAAAAGCCAACCATATATGGTTTCTAGTATCATACCACTCAGGGCTTCTTCATGGCACACAGAAATTATTGGAAAACTCCACTACAATGTTACTTTATCACTGCATCCCGTTTACAGTTACATAGTAAAATCACTATTTCAAAAGGCAGGATCATAAAATCTCTTTGTATCTATGTATAGAATCAACAAATACATTAAATGCATTTGATCAAGAGCACAAGTGCAGGACATCAAAGCTCGAAAGGCCTGTGATCATTTATGCATGTGCTGGCATGACAAAGCCCCATGGGAAACATCAGGCAATTCAAAACTCAGGAAACTCTTTCAATCAACATATGGGCAAAGCTTTTCAACTTCACTTTGCCGCTTTATGCACACTGCATTGAGATTAGAAGTCAAATTAGTGTATTTTTGTGTAGCTAAAAATCACAGCAGAAGCCGAAGGGTTTGTTAGAATCTAGTGTTTGTGCTCCCCCTCCCATCCCGTTCATGTTTGCAGACTTCACCTGTGCTGCAGATGAGACCCACCTGCAGCTCATCCCTCACTCTGTATATGAAGACCACAAACAGACAGAGTTCAACACTTCTCTGTCTGATAATTCCATCTCAGTTGGTATTGCATCCAGTGTTATTTAGATCTTACCTACGTTGGTTTCTTTACCTGCTGTTCTTTGTCTCTTCAGATCCGGTTCTGCTTTCCCGTTCAGGTCTTGGTCTCATGTCCACGCTCCAGCTAAGGCTGAGTTTACACGGAGACAATGTGGCAGTAAAACGGTATAGTTGGATGTCGGTAGCTACCAACCGTTCATACGGAGACTGTGTTCCAGGGGGGTGAAAACGTAAGTGTTCAGATCCAGCCTGCAGAGTGGGACAACTCAGAAACGCTGCACAGCGGGGAGCTCTTTCACACCCGCGAGAGGGAAAAAGGTGTGAAATCCCCCTCTGCTCTGACCCCCGCCTCCGCGCTGCTCCCCGCACGTCAATTTGGACATGCGCAGGAGCAGAGAACAAACCAAAACAACAATGGCACCGCGCGCACTAACTAGCTTCATGGGCTTCCAGCGCGGGACAGAGGATAATTCTACTCCTTCGTTCGTCCAAACGAGACCACGCGAAGCTCTAGGTTCAGTTCCCATGTTCACAGCTGCTGTTAAAATGCAGAATGATGTTGTTACTTTCTGAGGGTCTGGCACAGGAAGTGAATATACTGCCGGGAGGGGGGCTGGGGGTCGTGTTTCGTGTTGTAAAGTTTCTCTGCCCACTACTGGCCGGGTGCTAGAACTACATCGTTTTTCAACCTCATGTGAACGCTGAGAAATTTGCATTAGGAGCCAGTTCGTTTCTGTTAATAGCCTGGAAATGTCTGCGCAGCGTCTCAGTATAAACAGGGCCTTAGTCGGCCTGCTCCTGGCCACCACTTCCTCTTCTTGCTGAGAATAAACTTGTTAAACTTCTTCTGTCTTCTGCCTTGGCTTTGGGGTTCTATCTGCTAATCATAACAAGTTGTCACAAAATTTTCAAATCACTGATGGCAGATTAGAAAATACTATAAACACAAAAGTCAAATCAGTCAAACTCAGACAAAGTGGATAAAACAATAACCAGCAATAGCAGCAATAGTTTAAAAAGATGTGGATGAAACCAATGGTTACTGGTGATATTAGAAGTTTGTTCAAATGTTCATTTATTTCTGTATTTAACATGTAATAATATAGAAATGACATTTGCCAATCCTTTGTATGTCCAATTTCAATTCAATTTATATTAGTGCTGTCCAACGATTAAAATATTTAATCGCGATTAATCGCATGAATTTCATAGTTAACTCGCGATTAATCGCAAATTAGTCACACATTTGTATCTATTCTTTATGTCCCTTGAATTAATTAAAATAAAATAATAATAATAAAATAAAATAAAAAATGAATGAATAAGTAGATAAATATAATAATAACATGAATAATATGTGCATATAATGATAAGCGAAAGCTTATTTTAATGCATGACACGTTTAGTTAAGAAAAACACTTGGGAAAAAGGAACAAAATAAGAGAGGGAATGGGCCGGGCGTGGGCTCCCTCCCCCCCTTTTTGGGGTGGGGGCCTGCTTGGGGGTCTGTGTGTGTGTCGGATTTGGTTTTGATGTTGGCTAGGTTCCGCTTAGCTTGGTGAAACTCAGGCGGGCAGACTTTATATCTTATCTTATCTGTGGTGTGTATGTGTGTGTGTGTGTGGAGTGTGTGTGTTTATGGGTGTGGGTGTGTGTGTGTATGTGTGGGTATACAGTAGGTCCCATTTCGTTTTATAGAAAACATCATGGTGTCATTATGATGATGATAAACAATCTGTAAATATTTTGTAAATTTGTTCATGTAAATACTCTATGCTGTTTCTCTGTTTACTTTCGGTTATATCTATGACTGTATACTGTTTGCTTGTATTGCCTTTTTTTATTAACCCCTCCCCCCCAATCTCCCACTACATGTCCCCCCCCCCCCCCCTCCTATGTGCCCTTCTGGGTTTCTTCTTTGGCCCCCTGTATCTCCAACTACATATTGTTTGTAATCTCTGTCTACAATGTATCTGAACTAGTCCTTTTCTTTGTTTCTATTTTTTTCTGTATATGTGTTTGTCTGCAGATAATTTTTTTTTTTTTTTTTTTAATCGATGCGCGAATAAAAAAAATGAGCCGCCCATTAATATTGATTGCGTTTTTAACGCGTTAATAACGCGATATTTTGGACAAGCACTAATTTATGATTGTAACTAGTTGTGGTGATTCCGTGCAACAAAACAAACGATCAGAGACACAGTTTGTACAGAGGAAACGCAACATGAACAAACACATGGGAATTATTGGTCCAGAGAGGGCGTAGATGATCAAATGTTATAATGGTCCTGCAATATCTTGAATAATCCTTTCAGCTGAGACTCCTGCATCTCGGCAAGGCAACAAATTGCTATAGAACTGGTCTGAACCGAAGTGGACTGTGCAGGTCATTTATAAGGTATAGCTATAAGGTAAGACCCATAACTCATAGTTTTGCGTTTTGTATGAACAAACAATGCGGGCATAAAACATATTTTGCTGTAGCCAAACAAATTGTCCACTTGATTTATATGATGTATATGTTCATCTGATTGGACTGAAGTCAGTGCTTCACCAGCCTCACCGCTCGTCACCGGTGTTTCCACATTCACAGTGGCGGGCTTTACAGCACAGAGAGAGATGAAGAGTGAACAGGACTTCAGCAGCAAAACAGCCTTTTCTAGATGGAAATATTGGCACTGTTAAAGGTAAAACTGCGCACGTCGGGTGCACATTATGTTCCAGAACAAAACGAAAAAGTAACGCGAGAGTTACTTTTACTGGTAACTAGTTACTTTTATAGTGGAGTAACTCCGTTAGTAACTCAGTTACTTTTTGGGAGAAGTAACTAGTAACTATAACTAATTACTTTTTCAAATTAACGTGCCCAACACTGTTTATACCTACAATATATGTTTATGTACATGCAAAACCGCATGAGCCAATATAGCACAACACAACACAATTACCTATGTACATTTTTTGTCATTACCCGAGTTTACTCTTATGACTTGCACTGAATTGAATCGGCCAGGGATGCATAGTCCGGAAAATTGGTGGTAACTCGCTGACAAGTTTGTCGTGGTTTAGCTTTCCTGCACTGAGCGCGGTTGTTTGCGCATGTGCAGTCACCTAAGTGTCAGTAAAACTTTACTGAGTAAAACACAGATGTCATTTGACTGTGGTGCCATGTCCATGTGCCATGCCTGGTTTATTTAAATCCAAATATTTCCCCTCCTCCGTTTATAAAATAATTTGCATCCACACATCTGCGTTATCAATCACATTCGTAACATTCCAAACATGTGCGTCTCTTACGTCCTGTCCTGCGTTGGGGAAAAACACAGAAGTGGGCGGAGCTTTGATGCAGACGCCGGTGTAACGGCACTTTTACAGTCATAGAAGACACTCAGAGTAAAGACGTATGTTTACAAGCACTGACCCCGTCCTCAGCCCTGGTTTAGTCCTGGTTTAGTCCTGGTTTAGTCCTGGTTTAGTTGTTTTCAAGCGTGAGTCCCCGCGATCACTTTGCTGCTCTCTGATGTGGAGGATGTTCGCTGCTGCGAGCATCTCACAGCGGACAGTTTTTAAGGTAGTATGATCCATGCTTCAGTGATCAGAGGAATTTAGGGGGGTACTGTGGCGTGCGAGAACGCAAAACTCCGATTATCTCTGTCTACACACAAATGCATTAACGGAGTTTTCAAAAATCTCCACTTTGCCCGGAGTTTTTTGTATATATTAGTTTAGAATGTGTAATTTTTTATTTATTTAATGCGATCTACCAATACTACCTTTGCGATCGACTGGTAGATCGCGATCGACGTATTGAGCACCCCTGGCGTAGATGATCAATGTTCATAAATGTCCTTCAATATCTTGAATAATCACTTTCCTGAGACTCCTGCATCGGCAAGGAACAAATTGCTATAATTTTGGATTCCAGTGTATTTTCAAAATATGAAAGTGTTATTTGGGGTTTGAAATCATGTGGGCCTATATAGCATTAGCATTACTTAATATATAACTTGATATATCTCACTCATAATTTTATATATCTCGGTCACATATTAGTTTTGCGTAGGTTCCTTACAAAAGTAAACTTACTTCTTAAGGAAAATTCCAATTTTCTAAGTTTTACCCATATATGGGGCTGACGCCTCTCTGTTGATGGAAAACCTCTCTTCTCCAAGTTCATATTTTTCTTTCGATTTTTGAATGGATTCATATTTGAAGATATCTTTAATTGATGTCGTAAGTTGTGTCCAAAGAATAAAAAGCATATAATAAGCATATTTATGTAACGTGCTGCTAACCAAAGAAGAGTTCAATTCAACTCTTAAATATGAAAAATATGAACATGGCCTTAATCTTTTTTTTTTTTTTATTCTAAACTTTCATCCCAATCCACTAATCTCCACTTTTTAAAGGCGAATGTTGTGGATAATTGAAGTCCTTCCTCACAGTGAATGCAATGTTGTGGTGGCCGCAGAGCTGCGCATCATCCGTCTGCTCTGACGACTTCGATGGGGAACAAAGCGGAGGGAGTGTAATTACAACGCTGCATAATTTATGTTTCCCTCAATATTGTTTTGACATGTTGCCGTGATCGCTGCCAGTCTGACAGCAGCAACAGTGGCGTCTTAATTATTCACAGCTCTAAACAGCACACGGATCAATAATGCACAAGCAAAACAGACAATCTAAGAAAAGAACTGGACCCTGACGTAAGACACTCTTTGTAAAAACTGTTTCAAATGTTTTATTGAAACTTATGGGTTGACAGTATTTTTTGGCTCACGCAACACACTACAGATGCGCGCAATGCTATTCTGACATTAACTATGCAGTCATGAACTATTAAAGCTGGGGTACCTAACTTTGAAACCTCATACAAATGTCATTCAAATGTAACTAGTCTGCTCTAAAACAGTTTGGTTGTATAGTTGTCACATGCGTGTATGTTTTTAGATCAGCTTTTTCAGACAGAAAAGAGAGAGCACCACCCTCACCCTCACTTCAATAAGAAATAGACAGCATGTATTGGTCTGAAATGTTCTTCAAATGTTACATGAACTTTACTCTTTATGTTGACACAAACAAGATGTATTATGTATTTTTTAACTCTATAT